AATCGAAACTAATGCATTTTTGTGTAAATATTTAATAAGATCTTGGTACGTTTCTTAAATCTCAAGACATTTATGCTTGTGCATGGGGTTTGCTGTCTAATAATGAAACATGGAAACACCTTGAGTTCTACACCTCTTTTGTTTTGTTTGCTTTTTCTCTTTGATTCAATGCTACGCCACACAATCATGTATGCATGCAAATATTCTATCATTTGATCGTGTTTTGCAGTCTATCAGCAATTCAGAAAACTGCAGAAGGTTGCCTACACAAGAGGCCGACCACTAAAACACCAAAACAGAAAATTGCTTTGGACTAAACTCATGGAAAAATGCATATTGTTCCTTTATAGTTAAACAACTAAAAATATAAAATCGGGATCAGCATATATTGACATTGAACAACTTTGCAAAGAACACACGTTAACCCAACACAAGGAATTAAAAAGGAAAGAAAGAATGAACGTCATTAGCATGATCAAGAAGGCAAACAACAATTTAAGAATATAAACGATGAGCCGATTTAAACACGTTTGCATATATATATATATATGCAAGGAATGGTTATCTAGGAATCAATGGCTTCCGAAGATAAGCGCCAAATGTTCTACCATATATAATGCAAGTGCTGGTTGTTGAAGTTGAACTGGCTTTCAGTTTCACACTCCATTGATATTGTAACAAAAGAACTTACCATTTTTATTGGAACACTAGGATCCATTACGGAAAGAGTCAAATCCTCATTCCACTCAGGATTAACATCCTTCTTTATTACACGAGTCTTCAGTTTCTGCAAAAGATATTGTTACATACAGAATTTGAACAAGGAGCAATTTGCTCCAGAAAATATTCATCCCCGGGCCATAACATCAAGTTCGATTATCGCAGTAGGCAATATCAAATTTATAATTTAATATGCTAAAAATAATACAAATAGTTACATTCAAACCAATTACAAACATCAAATTTAATTAGTGATTTCCAACACATTAATCAATAGAGCTATTCAACGTGAAAGTCAACTAGGATAAAAACAGGACTGCATAGGAATAAAATCTTTGAGATCCATCAATCAAAGGAACCCTATCTTCACGTTGTTAATTCTCATATACAACCAGGAATCAAATTCAGCCAATGAAATAACAATTGCCTCCGAGTCCAGAACTCTGAATTTCGATAAGAACCCAGAATTTCGAAGCTTTTTAAGAGGGAATTACATTGCATCGAAGTGATCTTCATAATTAAATATAGAGTTCTACCAAAAAAAAATTCCAGGCAAAATTGTCCGTAAAGGTCGCTGCTTGCGGACATCAGGAACGAAAAGGAACAAAAAAAAAAAAGAAACAGAGGAATAACCAAGGGAGAGAAGAAGAGAGACGGAGACGTACAGACCTGTTTACCCATCTTAACAACAACGTAAGGGTCGCTGCTTCGGACATCACGAACGGCGAGGTTGACGCCCCGTTTGACCCGAATCCGTAGCAGACCCAACAATTCGTCCATCAACAACGAGCCCTTTGTTTTTTCTTCTTTTGGAGTTTCTGCCATTTCGTTTCGGTCTCCCCTCCTATAACATAAAAGGGACCCACCTGACCTCTCTTCTCTGGGAGTTTTGTTTTATCTTAAAGTTACTAGAAAATATTTGGAGGGAGCGGGATGGTGGGGCCCATGGCAGGGTAAGTAATATCATATGACATGACCGAGGAATCCGGTACTCTGTATGGGAAACTACTGGACGTGAATTCGTCGTTGTATATTTATGGAGGGGATTCGAGTAAAATACGCCCCTCAGTTTAAATATGATAAATAAATGTTTAGTTTTTAAATTATCAGTTTTAGTTTTTTATAGTATTTAATTTTTTTTAAATAATGTCTAACATTATTTTTTGTTTTATTTTAATACTTGTCATTAAAATCTTAATGGATAGATTGATGTGATATAATTTTGATAGACAGACGACTAATTCGAGCGATGGACCATAAGAGAATAACAGGCGACCAACATAGTCAAATTCCAAGCCCATCGGATAGTAGACCATGAAGATCAAGATGAAGAAATCGAAGAGTTCATCATCGATTTAAGGATATTGAGGCGTTCCCCAGTGAAATGGAGACCAGAATCACGTTTAGGACATCGAAAAGGTGCATGTTGAAAAGTTTGGGTTTCATCGGTTGATGGATGCGATGACCGACGATTGTAAGCGCGACAACCGACGAGCCCGTCCGTTAAATTTTTAACGACGGTACTAAGATGAAATAAAAATTAAATGTTAAGTATAATTTTGAAAAAATAAAAGTTTAAATATTAAAACAAATTAAAACTAATAATTTAAGTACTAATCGCATAGTTTACCCCTTTAAATCATAAGATTTAGGGTAAACTATACGGGAGACCACCAAACTATGATCATTAATCAATCTTGCCACCGAACTATTTTTTGTCTCAATTCGACCATCAAACTTTTTAATTAATTCAATCAGACTACTCTCCGTTAAAAAAACGGAGAGTCCGACGTGACTATTAATAATTGACATAATTATATAATTGGTCCTTAATATTTACATATTCTATCAATTTAGTCATTATTTTAATTTAATTAAATAAATTTAACTATCCAATTAGAACATGACACATGTCAATACATGATTGGAAGGTTGTATTTATGAATTTAAAATTATTTAATTAATTTATTTTTTAACCAATCAAGTGGTGACACATGTCACCACCTTGATTGAAATGAAAAATTGAACAACAAAGTTGCACCCAAGGGTTTTCAACCCAAGGGGGAGAAAATTCCCAAACGCCCAAACCATTGGGCCAAAGGTCTCCAATAATTCTAACTTACAACAATTTGTATTGGACTTGTACTGTTAAACAAATTATTTTGTTAAATAAATTTCAGTTTGATTAATGGTTACAAAAAAATATTCAGTTAATTCGATTTGGTTAATAATTTTCAAATAAATTTCAGTTCGATTAATGGTTAAGGAAAAAATAATTTATTTTAAAATTATAAACCGAACGAAATTAACCGAATTTTTTTCTTTAACATTAATCGAACCGAAATTATTTGACAGTTAATTGAACCAAAATTTATTTGAAAATTATTAACCGAACCAAATTAACATAATTTTTTTCTTTAACATTAATAGAAACCGAAATTATTTGACCGTTAATCGAACCGAAATTTATTTGAAAATTATTAACCGAATTTTTTTCTTTAACCATTAATCGAACTGAAATTATTTGACTGTTAATTGCACCCAAAATTATTAACCGAATAAAATAAATTATTTTTCTTTATCCGTTAACCGAACCGAAATTTATTTGAAAATTATTAACCGAACCAAATCAACAGATTTTTTAACCATTAATCGAACCAAAATTATTTGACTGTTAATCGAATCAAAATTTATTTGAAAATTATTAACTGAATAAAATAAATTATTTTTCCTTACCGTTAATCGAACCAAAATTTATTTGAAAATTATTAACCGAGTTTTTTTTGTAACCATTAATCGAACTAAAATTTATTTAACTAAATAATTTGTTTAACGGTACAAGTCAAATATAAATTGTTGTAAGTTACAATCATTGGAGAGCTTTGGTCTAATGGTTTTGGCGCTTGGGACTCTTCTCCCCCTTGGGCGCAACTCTGTTGTTCAATTTTCCATTTTAATCAGGGTAATAACACGTATCACCACCTAATTGATTAAAAAATCAATCAATTAAAAAATTTAAAATTAATAAATAAAACCTTTCAATCATGTATTGACACATGTCATATTTCTAATTGGATAGTTAAATTTATTTAATTAAATTAAAATAGTGACTAAATTGATAGAATATGTAAATATTAAGGACCAATTATATAATTATACCAATTTATTAACAGACACGTTACCAAATTAACGGCTACGTCGGACTCTCCGTTTTTTTTAACGGAGAGTGTCTGATTGAATCAATTAAAAAGTTTGGTAGTTGAATTAAGACAAAAAATAATTCGGTGGCAAAATTGATTAATGACCATAATTTGGTAATCTCCTGTGTAGTTTACCCTAAGATTTAACCGCTTGGGGTGTATATGCTACAAGGATTTGATATTAGTATATGAATTGTAATAAAAATTTAAAAGCAACTTTATTTGTAAATTATTTGAGTTAGGTTAAAAAATAAAATTAACTGATTTTGAAATGGATTTTTAACAAAATATTAATTGAAAAAAATATGAATGAATATTTCCTAAAAAGTCAGATTTTGTAATTTATTTCACCGTTTTGTATGAAAAATATAAAAGAATATTTAAATTATATATATTTTTATTTTATAAAAGTAATTAAAAATGTGGAAAACTAGAAATTTACTAGCTAGAATAACAGAGCACAATTAATCAAGAATCGTCTTTCTCCATATATAATAGAATAACAAAAATGGAAGCAAGCTAAGGCAGTAAAAGTGAAGTTAGGATAACATGATAATCCGTTTCAGTTGCCAGATCCAAGAGTACAAAATCCCTATTGCACAATACATCGAGATCAACATTAGTGGTAGAAAGGGAAGCTTATCACCGAGAAGGTAAGGATGCAAAAATTGGCCCCATATCTCTACCACCACAACACCTAAGAGGTAACTCTTTGCGACCCAACCGAGCTTGAACCATTGTTCCACGGCAGAAGTTCTGGAACTTCCCTTCGACTCAGATTGAGTGGCCTTCTCTTATCAGCCTGCAAAGAGCCCTTCGTCGCTACGTTCTTCGGGAATAGTGTGCAAAAACAGAACCACATCAGGATTGTGTGTAGTAGCAACAGCAATACTTTTATAGGGTATTCTTGGGCTTCGAATAGAAGGGGAAAGAGCGAGTAGCAAGACACTGTTACGACATATGTGGAACAAAATCCGCGTTAGTTTTCGAAATTTTATTCTCCTAAGTGATAAACTACATGTCAATATTTTATTTTGATGCCATACAGACTTGATATACATATTCATTTCAAGTTATACACCTGATAACAAAAATTATACAAAAATGTGAAAGAAAGCATTATACTAACTAGAAAAGACTAGGTAGCAGCTGAAACCATGGATGAATAGACAATGTCAAGGCTCTGTTTAAGTTTAATATCTGGACAAAATCAAAAGTCAACCGAGAGAGAACATAGAGGAGAACCATTACCTACGGATAACAAGAAAAAATGCTTTGCGTCCTCCAAACTTTCCACGGCAACAAGAGCAAGGGGGATGGATATGTGTAGTGATGCTTTCTCATGAACATGCCACCCAAATAGAAAACCACATGTGTATGCATAGGCGACCGATCTGGCGATCAGCCTCGGCCTGGGATCCCTCCAAGTTTTAAAAAGACACGGAGATAAGGCAAGCAGGACCATAATGAAGGTTGTCATGGGTGTTATCTGCCATTTCATTGAGATCCAATATGACAGATTAATCAGTAAGTTTACCATAGACAAAACGGAAATAGCATCTCATCAATTGTTAAATTAAAAGAAGGAACAATATCTAACAATACAGCTAGCAGCCAATGCCTTTACTCGTTGCTGATGACATGATAATCAAAGAGGTAAGGAAGTGGGGATCGGCATGAGCACCAAATTGGGTAGATCCAAATATCAAATTGATTGAAAATTATGTACCAAGATCCATCCTACGATATATACCGAGTCTCCTTACCTGAGGTAATACGGCAAACGGGGATGCATCACCAACTAGTCCACCTGTAAATGAAGCTACTGGTGCTGGAATATTGAAGCCAAATTTCCTCAGCAAGAAAGCAATTCCTTTATCTAACATTATATAGAAAACCCAAAAGTTTGGAGCCCAGTAAGCATGGCAGAGTCCCCTGCCAAAAGGAAACATGCGGCGGATGACTTGTTGTATCTGCAAGGTATTTGATGCACACTTAATTCACAATACATAACAAGGTAATTAATGGCTTCAGACATTTTCACTTGCAGCATGATTAATAATTGAAACTAGAAAATTTGCTAAACAATATGCACTTCCCTAACTACAATAAATATGTGAAGCAAAGCTATCGTTTTTTATATCAAGCTCTTTCCAATATTTAATTATCTAAAAATATCTGACAAAATTCAACAGTATATCAATCTCTTTACAATAAATCTAAGATGAATTACCTGTCCATAATACACAAAAGGCCCATATGCTGCTGCGAAAACCGCCACAACAACAGCTCCCAAAACAGAAAGCCGAGCAAAACCCCGAACCAGGCCACCTCGACAGTAATGCCTCAGCAAGTAAACAAAATAAACAGGAGCCGCCACTGCAAACAAATGCTTAAAGCACAACAACACAGCAAACAGAAAGCCACCCATTAAATCCCTTCCTTGCGCTATAAATGAGATCGACAACAACAGCCAGCCAAACAAAAACCCATTGTACTGAAAATGGAGATGGTCCACAATAAGGAGTCCCGGAGACCAAATCACAAACACCCATACCAAATACCGCTTTAGAGAAGCCAAATTTCGAGTCGATATGTGAACCCCATATAGAAGAAACAAATCTGAGATGATCACTGATATCCTCTGGAAATAGATGGCGGAATCGGCTTTGTAATTGAGGCCGTGATGGAGATGGACGATCCGTGGGTCAATTAGATTAGCAAAAATGGAGAGGAAGCGTTCGAAGTAGGCAAAGAATGGAGGGTAATCGAGGGTCCATTCACTCGTCTCGTCGTAGTACCATTGACTGAGAGGAAGAGAGTGGGCAATGGCAAGCCAGTGGCGGTGGACTTCCAGGTCAGTACTGTGGTAGGCTGGGATTAGTAGCAGCTTTACGGTGGTGGCTATGCCGAAAAACCAAAAGAGTTGTTTTACGCCTGCCGGCGATCGTGGACTCTCTCGCAGTTCCATCCCACGATTACAATACAAATTACAAAGCCGAGAAAACCCTACGGATTTCACGAACTGGGTTAACGGCAACGTCAAGTAACAAGTAATGAAAATTGACAATTCTACCCACTTTAAAGGAAGTATCTTGTTCTCGATTCTGAAAGGCTTAATACATAAATTGATCCCAAACTTTGTAACTTCTATTATATTGATCCCTTAAATTATTTGTGTCAGATTGGCACCTAAGATTGGTAAAAGGTACGCAAGTTAGTTCCCAAGATAAAATTGTTAGGATGTGGCGGCCCAACAGCGGTGGAGGCAGCATTGGCGTTCCTATGCTGCCACTCATGAAGGTAAAGAACACCGAGAAAACATACAGATAGGGTAAATATTGTGAACATTTCGTTCCTCCGTTATCACGTTCTCAACCCATGCTTCCACCATAGTATGCACTTCATGCAGGGAATCAATTAAGTGGATCGAATAAACACAAAAAAACCACCCGGTTGCGTTAAAGATTGAATTGTCGTCGTAATTCTTTAGTTCCTGATCGTAGCAATGTTTGGCAAGATGGAGGTCCAAAGGAAGTACTTGGCCATGCCTGTGCATGTAACCCGAGGTTGAATATGGCTTGTGCATTGTTGGATTGGGATTTTGTGTGTATGTAGACTTCGGATGTACGTTCATGAGTGGCAAAGATACCGACTCGACTCGACTCAACCATAGTAATATGCATTCCCTATAAGCCCAACACTAGTGTGAAATGTCTTAGCCAATTGATAGAACGCCTTTGGTTGAACAGCGTGCTTTAAAGGCATTTTTTTCTTAAAGAAATTCACACATATTTTAACTAAAGTTACTGCCAATTTTTTCAAGTTGGACTTATCAATAACATTATAGAAATAGATTATCAAATTACATCAGAAATTGTATTTCAAATTTAAACATAGTAGAGGGACAAACCATCTGTAACCCTTTTATTTAATCTAATTTGAGAAAATACTATGGAAATGCCAACCAGCGTTGCATTCAAATGTTCATAACATTTTTTGGTTCAAATTTTTATCTTCTTCTTTGGTGCACTGACGCTTGCACTCTTCTTCTTTGATCTCCAAGAAGAGTATTTCTAGCCTTGTTAAATTATCTCAACACGCCTTTGATATTCATTCTTTCACTCTGTCGCGACCGTCTTTCGGTTGGGCCCGAAATTAGATTTCGACTTGGATTAATGTGGTTAGAGTCGTCACCGACCATTGTAAAACGAATTTAGGTGGGTCAGACACCATCTTACATGATCTGCGTTTTAACAGAAACGTGTTGGGTTCGGGAGTCGGTTATGGTCAAGGAAGGATTAACACCCTTGAATCGCCATTTCGATACCAATTAATTTGTTGGTTGTCTTAAATTGAAAAAATTAGAAAATTAAAATTAAAATTTAAAACATTCTATTCGAATTACTTACCTTAAATTGGTTGGAATCACTAAAAAATGTGTCAGATGACAAAATAGAAATAAATGTGAGAAAAAAAATCAACATAATGATATAAAGAAAATAGATAGGTGAAAAATAAATGTAATTTAGTAAAAAAAGAATAATAAAAATAAATAAAAAATAAAAATATTAAGGAAATAAATATTAGCCAGAAAAAAATGAAAAAATAAATAAACAAAAAATGATCAAGATGCAAAAACTTAAAATGACAGTGACTAAATTAGAAAAAAAAGTGACTAAATTAAAACATGCATAAATTCCTAGACTGTTTTCGAATAAAACATCAATTAAGGATTAAAATGCAAATATATTAAATTCGGGATCCAAATTAAAATGATGAAAATTAAATCCAGTGATGAAAATATAAGTATTACAAAACCTTAAGACTTCAAACGAGGTTAATCCACTCTCAAAATTGCACAACAGTCCCTCCCCAAAACGACATCGTTTTGGGAGGGACAGATATAGGTGTAAAAGGCTCAAAATTAGCCCTCAATCCTCATTTTCTCCCTTCTCACAAACTAGAACCCTCTCTCTTCTCTCAGATTCTCCCCAATGGCCATATCCGATTGCAGCTCCGGTGACCTACCCGCCATGCCGACCACCGCGTATGCCGCCGACGATGGTGGCTGGAAAAACCCAAATAGACTCAAATTACTCATCTCGACACCGTGAAACCAAAACCGTAGCCTAAATCACCAAACACCCTATAGATCGGCGTAGATCTAGGAAAAGAGCTTCGGCTTTTTACCTTCTTTGAGGACCGTTCGCTTTTTCCAAATATACTCCGGGTGGCTTTCGGCGTGTTTGCTTTTTGTCTTGCTGGTCTTTTGATTTTTTGTATTTCTTTCCTTTGGGTTGTGGTTTTTACTGCTGTGGTTTACGATTTGTAGTGGGTTTTGATATGGTTTTTTGGTTTTATGGTTGTTGTTTAGTTTGGTTTTTCAAATCTGTTATGTTGCTCGATGGTGGTTGTGGACTCACTGTCTCTTGGCCTCGTGTTGATCGTTGTCCCGTGGTTCGAATCCTCTGTGGGTTCTCTCGGTGTACTGTTTTATTTGTGATTTTTGTCCCTCATCCTTGGCAGTGGCTTGGTGGGGTATTTATACCCCCACCGGTGGCCTGTTGATTCTGAAATAGGGGCGCTCGTGGCCGTTGTGACCGACCACCCCAGGATGGGTCAGTCCTGGGATCTCAGTCGAAAATCTCGCGTCGTTTGTGACTGTTGGCGTGACTTGGTTTCCCTGACTTGTGGTGCCTTGACTGAACGTGGAAACCCTAATCTATACTCTGGACTGGGTCAGACCCACTCTTCAGACTCTTGCTGGATCGCTTGGACTATAACATGGACCGAAAAAAAAAAGAAAAAAAGAAATAATAAAACGAATAACTAAAATAATAATAATAATAGTATACTAATAAACTATATAATATATATTTCAAAAACATCTTTAAACCATATATTATATTTTTTAAAACAAGTTTTCCAAACTATATATTATAGTTTTTCAAAACAAATGATTTAAAAACATTATATCAGTTTAAAAAAATTATTTTAAACATTATATTATATAATTTTTCAAAAATGTCTTTTTTAAAACTATATTTTATATAAGTTTTTTCAAAAGGTTTTAAAGAAGCTATACATTATATATTTTTTCAAATTGATTTCAAAAACCATATATTATATATTTTCAAAATGTTTTTTTTAAATTATATACTATATATATTAAAAAAAAAACCATTTTCAAAACTACATATATCATATGTATGTTAAAAACATTTGCAAATTATAATATATAAAATAAAAAAAATCGGACAAAAATGGGTGTCTACAGCTGCCCCTCTTTTTCCTTTTTCGTGGAACGAAAAATAGGACAAAGATAAAAAGACACAAATTTTCGTTCGGTGGAGTTGAAGAATAACTCCCTGTCGAATTGGATGGCCCCTCCGTCGCGAAGTCGAGTCCATCTTGAAATGATATGGAAGCCGTAGTTCTGAATTTGAATTAGGATGTGGCTTCTCGTTGCCAAATTGTAGTCAACTTCGTCTTCTTCTCGATTTAAAGACCTTGGTTAAAAATTCGACTGTAAAGTAGTTCCTTGACTCCACCGTGTGGTTGATAGGTCTCCCAGCTGAATGAAATCGAACTCGAAAGGTCCTTGTCGATAGATGGCTTTTCTCGACTTAAGTTATACTGTCGGAAAGTGGTTTTTTGTCACTAAGGTATGGTTAACCAGAGTCTTCTTCTCGACTTGAAAACCTCGATTGTATCCGGACAATAGTGTGATTGAAGTGTCATCGAGCTGAATGGAATCGAACTCGACAACTTTATTGATAGATAGCCCTTCTTGCCTTGAACTGTTCTGTAAATTTGGGTTTGCCTCTGAGGTGAATGTAATCGAACTCGAAGGTCTTCGGTTGGCATATATCTTCTCGACTTAAGCTATGCAACAAATGATGTGCCTTGGAGCTGAGCGTAGTCGAACTCGAAGGTCTTTTGTTGGCAGACAACCCTTTTAGACTTAAGTTGTGCTGCAAATGATATTCGTTGGAGCTGAGCGTAGTCGAACTCGAAGGCCTTTTGGTGACAGATAACTCTTCTAGCCTTGAGTTATGCTGTAAATGATGTGCCCTCGAAGCTGAGTGTAATCAAACTCGAGGGTCTTTGACATATAGCCCTTCTCGACTTAAGCTATGCTGCAAATGATGTGCCTTGGAGCTGAGCGTAGTCGAACTCGAAGGTCTTTGGTTGGTAGATAACCCTTCTCGACTTAAGTTATGCTGTAAATGATATGCCTTGGAGCTGAGCGTAGTCGAACTTGAAGGTCTTTGGTTGGCAGATAACCCTTCTCGACTTAAGCTATGCTGCAGATGTCGTGCCTTTGAGCTGAGCGTAGTCGAACTCGAAGGTCTTTTGTTGGAAAATAGCCCTTCTTGCCTTGAGCTATGTTGCAACTGATTTCTTTAAAAAATGGCTTCCCTTCATGGGTCTATGCCGGTCATAATTCTTCAGGTGGTTCCTCTGAGCGGATCTGAACCAAGTAATATGATTTTTGGATGACTCCCCTTCACAGGAAAGTCCACTTGATAAATTTTGCTAGCCGGATATCTTCCGCCGTGGAATTGAAATCTGGCTTGAAAATGTCAATCGGGAACTAGCCACTCGTCGTTAAGTTGAACTAAACACTTTCTGAATTGGTTCTCGAACTCATCTAAAGTTGATTATCGATATTTCAATCTGTTGAATTGGTTGAGGTGTGGCTTATTACTGTTGAGTTAAACAACCACCATCAGTCTTGAAAGGTACTTTTGAAACGAGTATCCTTCATCCTGAGGTCAAAACTTGACTCTAAAAGCTGCAAAAATCATGTATGCTAAAATGATGAATGTGATGCACCTAATTATGTCTAAGATGCATGTAACATGAATGAATTATGTGTTATCTCTATTACGGAGTCTCGTTCTTTGTCGGCCAATCTAGTCCTTGGAATCGATCGTGCCCCATTCTCTTTTCGAGCTTTGGCTTTACAGACCTTTCAAATCTGAGATTATTCTGTTTGAAAATGTTTTTTTTCTCCTTTT